TCTAAGGCGAACTACAGAGTAGGTGGACATGAGCTGCTGGAATCGGGGCTGGGCCCTGTGCTCAGTGAGACCTGCACAGACGGTTGGTCTGTGCTCCAGGGGTTCCAGCTGCAAACAACAGTTGCTCCTGCCCGAGAGAGGACGGATGGCCAGCTCTCTCTCATAACTCACGCTAGCAGTCTGCTCGGTTCCCAGGGAGCACCGCCAATGTTCACGGCTGTTGTTTTTCTTATTTACACCCAGTAATCGATGTCCGGGTTACTCAGGCTTTGAACTGAAACTAAGCATGCTTGTGTTGCATTATTTCCTATACTCAGTGGAAATAAATCATGCTGGTTAAAGGATTTTAGTGACGTTGCTTCAAAAAAATCCCAACTACATCAAGTTCAAAATGGCGATTACCAAATGAGAAATAACTAAAATGCATGATCTAACGGTCTTTTTTTTTTTTTTTAAATACATTTGACCTCATGGTGGTGTGACACCGCGCCTCTGTGCATGGCCTCTACACCGACAGGCTCCACCCCTGTCCAGTGCAAGGTGCTTCCTGAGGCTGGTCAAGGACAGTGTGACCCCAGCTACAGAGGAGTTGTAATTTGGTGACTTGTACAAAACCAGTCGGATTTCCAGACTCAAGGCTCAGTGGTTCTCTGTTGGAGGCTTGTGGTGGGGCTGGGCTCTACATTCTGCTCAAGCTGCCTTCATGGTTCTAGGCTTGGTTCTCACAGGACCCAAAGACTTGGTGCCTTCCAAAGATGCCAGGATACTCCAAAGAAGTGAGGGAGCAGCCTGTGGAGTCGGGGGGGAGGGCACTGTAAGGGAACTTGAGGTCCTAGATCCTGCTACCTTTTCTGTTTTCGTGGTGCTGGGGATGGAAGCCAGGGCCTCGTGCATATGTGGCAAGTGCTCTGCCACTGAGCTGCAGCCTCAGCCCTTTTTTTTTTTTTTTTTTCTGCCCTTAAACTTAGATTTTTTTTCCAGGTTCCAAAATTCTGATTTTAGCTTGACAATCTGATTTTTTAATCTCCTACACCAGACCTTGCATCCTGTTCACTTTGTCTGTTTCTCCTCTAGCTTCTGGTTTCAGAGTTTCCAACTCCAGTCTGGCAAGTGGATCTGAATCTTTTTGCAAGATGATCCAACAGGACATCTGTCCCCAGTGTGGGGCCCCATCTCCCACAGGGCAGGAGGAGAAGCAGAGGTGACGGGCTTCTGAAAAGCAATACTCTCCACAGTGCACTGCAGGGGTGAGGAGCATAGATGTGGCAGGCGTAGAAAGCTCTGGCCACCTCAGTGACCTCCTCGGGGAGGCATGTCAGGGTGTGGCATAACAGGGCTTGCTTTCCTACCATTTTTCAAGATCAAGTTCACCTTGAAATCTCATGTCCTCTTGGAAACCTTGAGCATGCCAAAAATCAGCACACTTTCTTCAGACAAACAAGTTGTGCTGTAAAGTGCAGCCGTCTTCTGATCTTGCAGCTCTGCAGAACATGAGGCAGACCGACTCCTCAGCTCTCCTGCACCAGGAAAGGCAGTCAAGCCTTGGCCTCCGTGGTCAGTGAACCTGTGGATGTCCTCACCAACATATCCCCTCATCTTCGCAGAGCTCCCTTCAGTGGGACACGCAGCTCTCCAAAGACAGACCTCAAACCTCAAGTTTAAAACATCAGTGAGCCGGACATGGGTGGCTCACACCTGTAATCCTAGCTAGTTGGGAAGCTAAGTTTGGGAGAATTTTGGTTCCAGGCCAGCCTGGGCAGAAAGTTTGCAAGACCCCATCTCAACCAACAGTTGAGCATGCTGGTGCTTTCCTGTTATCCCATGCTTCTTGGGATGCTAATATCAGACTAATTGCAGTTTCAGACCAGCCTGGGCAAAAAACAAAACCCCATCTCCAAATAACCAGAGTTAAAAGGGCTGGAGGTGTGGCTTAAATGGTATACCTGCCTAGCAAGTGTGAAGTCCTGAGTTCAAACCCCAGCACCACCACCAAAAACCATCCTCAGTGTTTGCTTGCCACATCCACGTGACCCCATCCCAGTTCCTCAACAAGTCTCTGTGTTACTTTAAGACATTTTATACAACTGCATTCTTCTGCTCTCTGGTGGTCAGCCATCATTTTGTTGATTTGTTTTTATTTTTTCATCATCTTTTGTTTTGCATGCACATAGTTTTCTTTCTTGGGGACTGCCCAGCAAAGCTCTGTCACTTTTGCGAAGTTGAAGTGTTTCCCCAACAAACCCATCAACTGGAGCACAGCCTGACACCTACGCCAGGTGCTACATAAGGCTGATGGGCATTGGTGTTCGAGTCCTCTGTCTGGTTCTCTTGAACAGGGACAATGTGAGAATGACTCCCTGGGCATCAAAAAGTACATGTAGGCCCTGCTCCTTGCAAAAATTATAGAAGAACAGAGTTTACGCACACGTGCACCAGTGTGCACACACAGGCGATGAGGCACTCGTACTTTGAATGAGGATGTAGTTATAATTACTAAAATATTAGCAAACTGAAGCCATCGTTGTGTAAAGAATAATATACGTCATGACCAAGGACAGCCTAACTCAGAATCGGAAGGCTGTTTCCACGTGAGGGACTCTATCGCTCCAACCGCTCATTGTGTTTATAGATTGAAGAAGATAATATCATTTGAATGTATTCTCCCAGAGTCTAAAAAGCAAAAACCAATATCCTTTCCTAATAAAAGCTTTGGTGAGCCAGGAAGAGAAGGAGGGTCTGCGACTGCATAGAAACAGTTTAACGGAAACCTCATGGTTGCTTGGCCCCTTTGGTTTGGGTCTGTTGGCAGTGCTGTACATCATGGTGGCTGGAGTATGAGTGGAGGAAGCTGCTCACTTCATAGTGCCCAGGAAGCAAAGAGAGCAGGGAGGGGCCAGGAGTCAGTGTCCTCTTCCAGGACACACCCCCAACGAGCTAAGGATCTCCCACTAGCCTCAACTCCTAAAGGTCCCACCTCCTTCCAACAGCACCCCAGGCTGGGGCCTTAGGAGAGCACTGAAGACCTAAACCACAACGCCAGGAGTCTTGGGTCCTCCATCGGAATCCATGAAATGGTAAAGCTAGTAGACAGACCCATCAGGATTCAAACTAAATGTAAGAAATACTACTACAGACATGGCAGAGGATCTGTTTCCCAAAGATAAACAGATGCACAAAACAAGCATGGCCATATGCAAACTCAGACATAGAACGTGTTTGTAACAGTGGAACTTCTCTATGGAACTCGGGGAAGAGAGAAAGGAAAAGAGAGTGACAGAGCATCAGTGATATCATAAAACATAAGATGTGAAGGTAGAGGATATGAGGATGTGGATTGAAAGCTGTTGAAAAATGGTGGTGGGAGATAAAGGGGTAAGGGAGAGCAATGGAAGGGGTTGAACAAACCAAAATAAAGTATACCCACAGTGGGATACATTGAGACCCCCTTTGAACATCAACTTAAATATTAATAAGGAAAGACAGGACTGTAAAACAGGTTCAGTGTTATGGTGGGGTACTACTGGGAGGGGGAGGGGAATGCAGGAGAGTAAGGTGAGGGTGTATGGTTGATGGACTTCATATACCTATAAGAAATAGAGCAAAGAAACCTCTTGCAATTGCTCTAGGTGGAGTGGGAAGGGGACTGAGGGGAAAGACGATGGGGACAATGGTGACTATTGTACAATATGTCTAATCAGAAATTAGGCTTACATTCTACATAAGTCTATGAATCCCCCTCTGTATAACAAATATATCCTAATAAAATAAGAAAAAGTGTCAGAGGAAATAGAGGCTAATATTTCCATATCTCAGAGCTGCAGTATCACTTTTAAGAGAGCGGCAGGAGGCCCACCCACTCCTCCCAGGAGCGCTTGCTTAGACCCAGTTTCAGGGCCTGGCCTTCAGCATTTCTCAATGGAGAAGAAAATGGCCAGATTCAGAGATGTGGGAGTCGAGAGCGCAGCTGGTGTCACAAACCTAATTACTCTCTGTTTTTGTCTTTCCTTCCAGGTGCCCCCAGAGAGAGCTGGGAAGAGCCCTAGCCACCGCAGTCCACTCTGTCCAGTAGTGACCAGCACCAGTGGACACCTCCAGTAGCGTCTCACATCGCCCCCTTCAGGAAGGGCATGGAAACACAGTCAGCTGCAAGTCTGCATCTGCTTATCTGACACCCAGAGCTGTAGGATCATCAACCGAACAACAAAACTCAGAAGAACCCCATGTGCACAGTACTAAGGCAGCAATGTAATACTGAAGAAAACCCAAAAGGAGGAGAAGCGGGGTGTGGGGGCACCAGGGGACTTCTTTCCTTCTTCAGCTCCCTAGTTCTCCATGGCTCTCAACCTGGGCTACATGTGGAAGTTACGTAGCAGCTTGCAAAGACCAGGTACGTGATCCACCCACAGAGCTCCCTGGTAGAACTGGCGGCTGGGGGAGGGCCAGGGTGTCGGGATGTGTGGGGTCCCTCGGGAAATCCCGACATGCATCCAGGGTAAGAAGCACCCATCCAGGTGAATGCAATGGACGGGCAGAGCTCAGAACCACTGGTCCCCAGTGCCAAATACCAAAGAAGTGACGCAATGGCTACTGTGCACGGGGTGAGGGTTCTCCCTCTCAAGGACAAACAGGAACAGGGAAAGGACATTTCCTGAGCGCCAAGTTTCCAAGACACCAGACTGGGCGCTTCACGCGCAGTTTCACTGAGCCTTCTCAGCAAATCTGCAAGGACCCTTTCGGTCTGGAAGACCCCACTCCCGGGACTCCTGGGTCTCCCCTGACCACACGAGTGGTATTCCGAATTTAATACCCCAAAAGATCCCAGGGAACAAAATGTCTCCTTGCAGTCCCAACCTGATTATCGTGGAAAGAGTGTCTGAAAGAAGCGCCAGCAGCCCAGCTTAAAAGCCCAGCTTTTAAGAAAGTGACAGATAGAGGCTGTCAACACGTAAACCACAGGCCCCCGTACCAGCCCAGGAAATCCCAGCCATCTCCCCGGGTACCTGACAGCCATATTGTGTGAGGCAGTTCCCAGAGTTCTCCTCCCCAGGACGCACAGAGCAAAGGACAGGGTCACCAGAGCGGAGTCCTCATCACTGTCCACACTGTCCAGGGCCTTGGAAGGCTGAAAGGGCAAAGACACGGTTTTCACCCAAGTCCCCAGATATTCCAAAACAGCATCCTCAGGGTGGGGCCACCAAGGCCATCCAGCCTCCTCAGAGTGGGCCCCAGGGTGGGGAGTTGTCTGCTTCCCCACCCTGCCACAAGAGGCAGGTTCTCTTGTGATTGAAAATGTGTTTTCAGAGAGAAAAGGAGCAATGATGAGGCTAAGCCACTTCCCTGGGATTTCAAATGTGGTTCTTGGGGGTGGTGAGGACATTCAGAGCTCACAGTCAAGGGAGGTCCACCTAGCGCTCTCCTATCAGGACCGAAATGTTCATGCTTCCCCTCCTCCCTGCTCCCCCCCTCCTCCTCCACCTCCTTTTCCATCTCCTATGGTGGGGCCCATTGAACTGAACCCAAATTCACACCAACAACTAAATTAGTTATCTAAAGTCAGCTTCCAAAGGGCACACAGAGATAATTTCAGATCAGGGCATCTTTTGCAAGGAAAATGAAATAATGTAAAGAAGTAACACAGGGAAGATCACTGCTATCCCTGGACGGCCCCCGGTATCAGTGGGTTCTGTGACCAGCCTTGCCACCCCAAGAGGCCAGACCTGGGTATGAGTCTCCCCACATCGCTTGGAGAATGCAGTGTCTTGACACATGAATTTTCTGCCACCTGTTTTAATCTGTTGCGAGCAGTCACTCCTGAAAACCACTGTGTGAGTGCCATGGTTCGGGCTGCTCTCCTCTGCTATGCTTTGTACTTCATCAGCTGCTGAGGGAGTCACTGTTTGCTTGGACCCACTTTCTCCCCCACCATCCCGTCTCAGCCTTTCAAATCCTGAGGAGCAACGGGAACCGACCTCCTTCCTGTGCACCCTCCTGCTCTCTTCCTTGTCATTGTTCTTGGCTATGCTTCTAAGAGGGAGGTGCTTAGCCCAGGACAGATAGTCTGCCCACAAGACGATGGCTTCAGTAAATCTTCCTCACCCAGCACAGAAATACTTTGTGGGACCATCTTGAAATGCAAGTTTAAACACAGATGCTCCCAGTGTCCTATTGCTGTTATGGAGGCTTAAAACAGCATTGACCCTGAGCACACCCTAAAGGACAAGTGACTGTGAGGTTCCTCCGCTGGACACAGTCTACTGACCTCCCTGTGCTGATGGACTTATCCAAACACAGCCCAGCACGAAGCATAAGCAGAGATGATGGTTACCGATCCCTGCTTGCCCAGCCCCACCGTCTACCTCTTGTCTTTTCCCGGCACAGTACTGAATCCACTCCAAGTAGACGTTGCAGTAGCTAGCGCGTGTGATCCCCTGGAGACACGGGACGTAGTCGTCATCGATGTTCATGTTGAACATTGCAAGGTCACGCTCGATGTAATGCCACTTGGCGAAGGGCTGTAGGGACGTCAGGAGTGACTCATTCTTGGTCCAGGAGAGGAGCTTGGGGGACGTTACCATGTAGTATATTATACTCTGCAGACAGAAGGCGAGACAGTGAGCTCTTACTGCCTTGGTACAGCCAGGAAGGTTCTTTTAAATGGATTAGGGTTCAGAGAGTAATCCTCAGGTAACTGAGACGTGCAGCCCCATGTGGGCATCATTTGTCTCTCTGCTGGATTCAAGGCATAGAACCATCCCATTCTGGTCATTCTAAAGTGTCATCTCTTAAGGACCATCACAGGGAAAGGAAAGTGAGAAAACTAAATGCTAATAGCACATGACCACAGGGGAATGTAGCAGCCAGTCCTGCCCTCTCTGGGCGAAACATCCTTTCAAGGTCCTGTGCCATGGAGGCTGCAGGGATGGGCTGATAGAGACCTGGCTGACCCTCTCCAAGGGCCCAGCCAGTGTTTAAAGAACTAAAACAACACAGTTCTTATGAAAAGTAGGGATGATGCAAAATTGTGACACACAGACTCATTTGATCCCGATGCCTAGGCAGTGGATCTGTGAGGCATTCTAAAAACATCCCATGGTTCACCCTTCATCAGACACTGCACTTAAGAGTCCCAATTGCAGAAAACGCCACCCTCAGGCTTTAGGGCTTTAGTATTCTAAATTTAGCATTCTGAGTCACAGCTTTGTTGAAAGTCATCGGGTAGAGGTAGTGTTGTCTTGAAGAAGTAAAGCGATAACAGAGAAAACTGAAACCTGAGCCTTACACAAGTACACGGGCAACAGATCGGAGCCCACAGCTGAGGCGTCACATCCAACGCTCACTGAATGCTCATTACATCAGAAAAATGGAAGTGGCACCCAGAGACATGAGGCTGAGGGGAGTCCAGAACCACGGCTGTGCATCTCATTGTGAAGTCATGAAGGACAAGGGCACAGCGGCTGATGTAAGGAGGCAGGAATGCCTGCTCCAGGTAGAAGGAGAGTTAGTGCACTCTTTCCAAGTGGGAAACAGCAGTGACCACTGGATGGATGGCTGATGCCCCCAAAGTAGTGTCCCTTTCCTCAGCAGGCTCTGGCCCACCTCTTTTGCCTTCCTGCCTTCTTGCCCTCTGGCTGGCAAATGAGCTCTGCAGACCCAACTCTCAGGTTCCTGAGGGGTCAGGTTTCACATTCTTTCAGGAGTCTGAGCAGCACAGTGGACAGCCACACGAGTGTCTCTGATTTCAGATGAGTGATCAGTCACCTGACACAGCTGTTAGACTGAAGACAGACATGGAAGGATAGGCAGACGCAGCTCCATCTTGCTTTGCCATGAGGATGGAGGGCAGGCTGGACCTCGGGAAGGTTCACCTAGGGCTCAGATTTATGGCCTTCCCTCTTTGGGGCTCTGCAGTCTACCTTCTCCCCCAAATGGGGCAGTAAGAATGAAGTCCACATTCACCAGAACCCAGCTGTTCCACCTCTGTAACGCTATTCCCCAGGACGGCCGGGCTGGCCTGAAGAAATGAGTAGAGAGAGATGGTGGGCTGGAGGAAGAGGCAGAGGCAGCTGAAAGAAGGCAAGAAAGTCAGACACACTGATGACACCAGCTGCTTGTGGCCCTTCTGAGGTCCATGGAAGTCTCATGCAGATGAAGAACTGGGCATGTGGCTTGACCCCGTACATAGGCAAGAAATGGTGATGTCACCGATGGGTGTGGCTTACTGACCCAGCAAGCAGGTTGAGCGTGGGGCCAGTGTGTGGGCATGTGTGTGTGAGGAGTGCAGCCCAGGAAAGGCTGAAGTGAAGAGCGAGGGAGCAGGGATGGCAGTAGGTGACAGGAGACAGCTGCGTGTGTCCCCAGAGGGCAGAACTGTAAGTTCTGAGTATGGAAGGTACTCTTTTGTTGACAGTGCTGGTTGGATAACTCAAAGCTTCCATGAGGTGGACAGTTTCATTAGTTGGGCCAAGGTTACAAGTCAAGGAGAGTTCATGGTTTAACATTCTGTAGTTTCTGTTACTGAGGGTCAACCACAGTCTGAAAATAGTAAACAGGAAGCTCCAGAAATAAATGGTCTTTACATTTTAAATTTTGTGCCACTGTCCTGATCAGATGATGAAACTTGTGCTCTGCCAGTGTATCCATGCTACATATGCTACCTGTCCGTTAGCACTAGCCATCTCAGTTATCAAGGGTTAGCCCTTGTTTTTTTGACAATGGCCCAGCATCCCAAGAGTGGTGATGCTGGTGATATGATGTCACAGAGGAGCCATAAAGTGCCTTCCTTTACATGAAAAGTAAACGTTCTTGACTTAAGAAAAAACTCCCATGCTGAGGTTGCTGACATCTACAGTAAGCTATTTGTAGAGCGGGCAAGAAACCATAGCCACATAACTTTATTTACAGTCTAGTATTGTAATAGTTCTATTTGATTTTTAGCTGTCCCTAACTTACAGACCAAACTTACATAGCATCAGTAAGGATATGCAGGGTAGACTGCATAGACAGAGTTGGTCCTGTCCGAGGCGTCCACGGGAATCCTGGACAGAAGCCACTAAGGATAGTCCTTTTTTCAATATGCCCTCATCACGTTCTAGACAGGACTAACAAAAGTTGAAAGACAAGAGCTTGCCTTTTCATTCATTGCTAGGGAGGCATTAAAACAACCCCACATCCGATGGAGCGGGAATAGTTAACAGGGTCTTTGACTCCCAGAGGCAAACACGCCCTCACCTAGCCCCGTAGGGTTGACCTGGGAACATGACCCTCTTCAGAGCTCACACCCTCCCCTCCCCAGCCAATGGCCGGGCCCAATTCCCAGGCAGTGAAATCCTTCAGTCTCTCAGGACAAACTGAGCACCAAGGCCCAGAGTGGTGAAAATGGACGGACTGTGTAACCTGCGCGGTGCGGGAAGCGCTCAGTGTGGGCCCCTCCAGCCCCACTCCTGACCTCTCATTTCCACTGCAGATCTGCACATCCCACCAGCCCAGAGTCTGGAGGGAGGCCCTGGCAGGTCGATCGCACGCCGGGCTTCTTGGGGCTCGTTCTGCAAGATGAGCCATGAGCCACAAGCTGGTCCTCGCAGAAACCTGGCTTCCTGATGTAAAAGGGTCTTAACATGAATTGAGGTGTGATGGAGGGGTCCCCAGGGAAAACCTTGAGCCGCTCAGGAAATGATTTCAAATGTATTCATGGGGGGCGGGGCTGACCCAGTTTATTAGCAGATTTTAAAAGTCCTCTTGTGCAAAGGAATTAATCCAAGGTTTTCTTTCTTTTCAATTTGCCTACCCAATAAGCAAATAAAGAGAATGAGACCAGACTCTTGAAACCTGAAGTAATTCAGAGCTGCAAGAGCTGCCTGGCTTACAGGCTGGAAGAAAATGTCCATTTGTCTTCACCCCAAATGCTGCAGCGTCTGTTCCGTTACCCGGCAGCCTCCTGAAGCCTCCCTTAACCAGCTCCACCTGGGGGTGAGTGTGAGTTCTGGGCCCCCGTCCTGGAAGGGCAACCAGGCCCTGAGTGCTGCGTCCAGAGGCGGCTCTGTGAACGCCCCCTCCCCTGCCGCAGCCAGTGTGGACGAAAGCACAGGGAACGTGGGGCCCACGTCCACGCCTTGGCCCCTCTGACCACTGATTTGGTGTGAATTGGAGCATAAATGTGACACATTTGTCAAATCACCCGGGAAACTTGTCAAAAAGTTAAGGTCCATGGGTGTCCCCCAGGCCCCACGAGTCAGCACTTCTGGGTGGGACTGAGTGGTTACCTAGCCCACTAATGAACCTGTGCCCAAAGGCCCAGAAAGAAGCATGGGGGAGAAGCTGATGTGAGCCCCTCCCTCCCCAGGTGGGAGCTTGTCTTCACTCCCTCTCTTGGGAAAGAGTGAAGGGCTTTGCTTTTCCACCAGCCAAGGTTATCTGGCGGGTTCTGGGACCTCCCCAGCCTCCTCCATGTGCAGTGTCCTTGGTTTGTGTCAGGTTGCTCTTGTCATCTTAGAGACACACGGGGGATTGGGAGGCACATGTCCAGAGGTTTGCAGGGGAGGCAAGTGTCCCCCACATCCAAAGGAGGGAGGAGCATAATGGCAGATCAGGCCTGGGGCCACGGAGAAGGTGGAGAGGGCTCCTTCTCCCCGCTGTGACCTGGTGGCCCCATGGCGTGGGGTCAGGTCTGTCCACTCATTCTGACCCAAGCAAAGGTCATTTGTAGTACTGGGTCAGAAACAGGACTCAGTATTGACCTGGCTGTCACTACCAGGCTGCTCAGACCCTGTCCTGGAGTGAGATTTCTTCTGTGCACACTGTGTGGCCTGAACACTGGATCTGTCACTCAGAAACAGCTCATTCTACTCACAAAATGCACTGTGCACCTAGATGAGCAAGTCACCTCAGGGCTGGGGGACGTTGAAGACTCAGGTGTGGCTGGGTGGACAGGTGTGCAGAGGGAGGCACGGCCCCTGGACACCAGGGGAGAGGACCTGCCATTGGAGCTGTGGGTGTGTAGGTCAGAGGAGAATCCTTACAGGAGCAGCAGGTGCACTGGGAGGGCTAGAGAGAGGGCTCTGAGAGTTCGAGATGGTGGACAGCGACCAGGGAGGGCTCTAGGGGGCAGACAAAGAGCCTTGCTCATGAAACAAGGCCAAGGCTCGTCCATCTGGCCTCTTTAGACCCACACTGCTGGCCCTAGCAGCCCCCTTCTGGCCATTTGCTTTCTGAGTCAGCCCCTGGATCCAGCTCTTCCTGCAACCACTCCATCTTGCTGCTTCCTGAGAACTGAAGGAGATATAAAAGACACTTTCCTTGATGAGGAAGAAGGTGAAGTGCCGGCTGCCATCTGTCACTTGTTTCTCCCTCTTCTATAAACATGTAATTTCACTCTGTGTTCGCAGTTGCCCCGAGTCCCTTCCCAGACCTCTCCCAGCTGGCAGAGGATGAGGTTCTGTAGATGGGATCTGGCAGGAGCACACTGTGGCAGTGGCCTCTATCTTTGATCTTCAGTTTCTTTGACCTTTCCTCTTCCTTTAAGTCTGGAGCTGCAACCTTGAAACGTGAAGTGGGAGCCACCTTTAAGGGTGTCATGAGAACTGGAGGGACCCTGGGACCCAGCCGAGCCTCCATCTGTGCGTGAGAGAAATAAATGCCTAACAACATGTGCCACTGTTGGTTCTGAGCGTGCTTAAGGTCTGCTCTGTGCACAAAGCCTCCGGCATTCGGTTTATAAGGGCCTGGGGAACCGGCCATGGAACCCAGCTCCCTAACTGGCCTCCCCCACCTTTGCAGGTCTGCATCAAGTTTTGCGTGCATTTGATCGTAAAGTCAGCATCAGTCTAGCTCACTCTCTAGCCAGTATGAGCTGATCCGTTGCTCTGCCACGGCACAGGGGTTCACCCACACCTGGGGTGGTGAGGAAGAGCCCTTGACCCTTCTGACTTCCACGGCTGCCTTCTGTTCCTGTAAACTGCAGCTGCAGCAGCAGACGGTCCCACACAGTGACCCCATGGCAGCTCCTCCAAACTTCCCACGCTCCGCCTTGGAGCTGGCTGAGGAGGCCTCAGGTCCTCCTGCTGCCTTTTCATTCCTATTTCCTCCTGTCTCTGCTGCAGGAGCTTTTGTAGCCTCCGGTGGATGTGCTGCCATTCTGGGGACAGCGTTGACACGTGGAGCCCCTCCCTGGGCCGCCCAGGGCTCCCATCGTGCTGTGTGCTCCTTCAGAACCAGACCCTTTGCCATGCTGCCTTTGCCAGGCCTCCCCTTCAGAGTGCTCCTCAGCCCTGACAGCACTTGGTGCCCTTGGCCGCCTCCATGCTGCTCTCCAGGAGACTTGGCCAGAGCTGTGCATTTCTGAGCAACTGAAAGAGATGTGATTAGTTTGCAGGTACCAGAAGAGGAAGAAGGGCTGTCAGGACTGGTCCTCACCGGCCGCCTAGCTCTATCTCGCATATTTGTCATGACCCTGTGTGGCTCCAGCACTGAGTCACTAACACCTCTGGGTTTAAATTTACCATCGCCCTCACTACAAGCACCTGGGCTGGGTGGCCGTGGAGAAATGGAGAGAGAGGAGGAAACAGAGGGCCTGCTGTGCCGGGGCTCACGCTAGGACACGGGGTGCAAGCTCAGGCCAAAGCCACGCCCTGCGGGTTTTACAGGACACACCGGTCCCCAGGCCTCACTGCGGCTCTGGCTGGAAACCGGGAAGCACCTTGGCACCCGCCTTCCGCGGGGCTGTGCGGGCGCTGCGGGGGTCGCGGCGTGGTCCCAAGGACCCGCGTTTGGAGGCAGGGCCGTACCTTGACGTAGTAGCGGATGAGGATCCTGCGGAGGTCGAACACCTGCAGCATGGTGGCCGCATTGTTGTCCGAGATGCTGTAGCCTTCCAGGACGTACTGCGTGCGCGTGATCTCCCAGGCGAACCAGCGCAGGTGAAAGGCCGCGTTGCAGGACAGCAGGTGGGGCAAGTGGCCGGGCTTGCAGCAGCAGCAGCCTCTGTCGTCCTCATCACCTTCCGTGATGGCCTCCACCTCCCTCTGCTGGCAGTAGGTTCCTGCCCAAGCACCACAGGCGGCATGTTAGATCAGGAGTCAGTCTACAGCCTTCCTTCGCAAGGGGTTGCCTGGCCTTCATGGGAGAGGAGGCACAGCAGAGTCCAGGAATTGGACTGGTTTGTTTTTACTTATGTTTAATTTTATTTTGAGGTACTGGGGTTTGAACTCAGGGTCTACACCTTGAGCCGCTCCACCAGCCTTTTTTTGTGATAGGGTCTTGCGAGAACTGTTTGCTTGGGCTGGTTTCAAACCACGGTCCTTCTGATCTCTGCCTCCTGAGTAGCTGGGATTACAGGTGTGGGCCACCGGTGCCCGGCTGACTTGTTTATTTTTAATTCAAAGCGTATCCCCAACAGCCACAATTTTCATAACTATGAACTCTTTCTCATTCATAATCATTCTGATTCTTGTCTCTTTTTTGGCTTTGGGGCGGCGTGCTGTCATGGTAGTCATGAAATGCTGGCTGGTGACAGCCTTTACCTGTAGGTCACAACCAAGCAGACAGGAGGCTCAGGAAGGTGGCAGGTGGAGGTGTCTGGAAATAGCCAAGTGCATGCAAAAGGGCTGCCAGGAAGGGTGCCCAGCAAGGGACACTGCTGCCAGGCTGCAAGGGCACAGCCCTTACCCCCACTCCATGGGATCAGGACATGGCATGGCTGCCATGTTTTCCAAGGGCTTCACGCCGGAAGCGTGGTGATGTGGGGTGTGGACCATCTTTGGAAATGGCCGCCATACCTTCTTCAACATTTTCATAAAGACTTGAAACACATAGTATGCTAATGACATGAGGTTACCAGTATGCCCTGGAACACAGACTTGTGATCTGAATGATCTGCACATTGTAGGTTCATAAACTAACCATGCAATCTACGAGTCTAGTGCCGTGTTTAGCAAAAACACAGACAATTTTGCTGACTGTATGAACCAAAAGTAGGAACCTGAAGAACAGCTTGAAATCCAGACAGCCGGAACACCTGGTAATCTTCCCTCAGGCTGAACCAAAGGGCCACCGAGCCAGAGGGCTGCCGAGGAACTGAAATGAAGTCAGGTGAGCCAACTAATCCTTTCCTCCATTAACAAGGTGGAGTAGAACTGATTTGAACCTGATTTTGAAGACTTGATTACACATTAAGAAAAACAGAAGGTTCTGAAAAATGTGAGACTCCATTTCTGAAGAATGACTTGAAAGAGTCAGAGACTGGTTTTGCAGAAAAGAAGACTTGGGGAGAAATGGCGGTGCGTCCTATGACCACCTGCAGAACTCCACCTAGAACTGTGAACACATAGGCTCTGAAATGCTGAGGAGGTCGCCAGTGGGAAGGCTCAAGGCAGAGCATCTGCAGTAAGAAAGGTCATTTAGAAGCTGGGTGTGATAACTCACACCTGTTAATCCCAACTGCTCGGAGGCAGAGGTCAGGAAGAAGATCAAGGTTCAGTCCAACTGGGCAAAAAGTTAGTGAGACCCCATCTCAACCAATAAACTGGACACAGTGACACATGCCTGTCAGTTGTACAGGAGATCGTAGGTAGGAGGATCTCTGTGAAGGCCAACACAAGCAAAAAATGAGAGACTCTGTCTAAAAAATAATTAAGGCAAAATGGCTAGGGACATAGCTTGAGTGGTACAGCACTGCCTAGCAAGCATGAGGCCCTGAGTTCAAACCCCAGTATTGCCAAAAAAAAAAAAAGGGCCATTCATATTCAGTAGTGGAGTACCCTCATGACGGGGACTTCTCTGGGGGGATAGGAGGAGAGTAAAGGCTGAGGTGGGGGGTCAGGACATAAGTAACAGGTGCTATGTGACAGGTGCAAACCACATGAACTGCACATCAGAGAGAAGAGAAGAGAGGTGGGAGAGGCCAGAAAGGACAGCAGGGTCAGCCGAAGTGTTTGCTGCTTGGTGGGGTGTGCACAGTTTTCAAGGTGGTGGGTGAGTCCTAAGCAAACTTACCAACAGCAGGGGGAAAAGACAAAAGAAGCGAAGAGGTGGGTGAAATCATTCCACAGAACAGATGTACTAGGTAGCTTAGGACAAGAAGGAAGAAAAGGCGATGCAGAGAGGGAGATGAAATTAAAATCAGTCATTCAAAGCACACTTAGGAAGAAGAGGAAACACGGATGTGGCAGAAAACAGCGTGGGTGTGTGAGTACCAGAGAAGTTTCATTCTGAGTGATGCCTACTTCTCTAGGGGTCTGCGTTCAGGAAATATTTGTTGTGAGTGCCTTCTTAAATATGTTTAACTTACTCTTGAAATATCAGCCTGGAAGGATGTCATTTCAGCGGGAGGCAGTAGTTAGCACAAGGTCTGAGGAAAGGCAGCACATCACGGTGACTTGACTCTGTCAAGTATTTAACTGACCCGCGCTGCACAATGGGCCGTGGTAAGCATGAAGTGAAACACCACGTGCAAAGCAATGGGTGACCATCCTAAACCCCTAAACGGTGGCTCTGACGGTCACCTTTACTGCACTGCAGCCTCCATCGGCAGAGCCAGCAAGCTGAGACTTAAGTGAAACACAGAACCTGTCACTGCACTGCTCCTGCCCACATTAATGGTTCACTCTTCCAGGATCCATGTCATCATTCACAGTGTCTGACAAAGCTGGTGACATGATGGGGCGAATGGCCACATGGACTAATGAAAGGATTCTTGCTCAGCTCACTGTATGCATGGGCAGCAGGTGCCATAAGTAGAAAGCCCAGTGCAAATACAGCATCCTGGATTACACTGCATCCATGTTACGCACGGATGAACAAAGCCTGGGTTTAGGCCAATCTGCAAGAGGTTGACATGGTTGTACCGTATCAGAGATGGCAAGTTACAACCCCAAATAAGAATGCATGTGCCGAACTGTTAGGACAGAACTGTTAGGACTGTCTGAAACTGAGTCCACATCAGGAAGTGGGAGGTAGCAGGTAGTGACACATTAAAAGTGAGGCAGTGATACCCTGATCCCAGATTTTAGGAGCCCATCATCTGTCTCCAGGACTCACAGATTCGGGTCTGAATGGAAATCATTCTTTTTTAAGCATTCAAGGGTCTCTTATCTCATCTGTAACTAAAACTCTGCTTCTCTCTGGTGAAGGTGGCAGAAAACATAGCTAGACAATGAGCCATGCAGACCCTAGCTCGAGGGCTTCAGTGTGCAAAAGCCATTGATTTTTGACAGACCTATGCTGGGACCCCAGGACTGTAGGTGGCAGGCTCCAGGTGGGGGCCCATCTCACCCCACCACAAAAGCACAACAGCCACACTCGTTTGTTGCCAGCTGGTGATACAACTTAGGAAGAAACTCTTCCAATGGAGGAAGGAAACAGTTTTCATAAACAAGAAACTCGAGGATGAAGCCCAAAGGAGGCTTTTATCCATGGAGAAGTGCTTAAATGGCTGACCTGTGCTCAGATCTGAGGGTCTGGCCAACGTTCCAGCTCTTTGTTCTATTCTGTTCTAGCTCTTAGCATACTGAGTTGAAGGGCACGGATTCTTTTCTTAATCAAACCAGGAGAGGTAGATGTGTGCAGAGGGGTGGGGGTGGGGCACCCACGCCCATGCCCACACCTGTGTCTACATATATGTGAGAAGATGGGGGTTTGGATTTCTAGCCCTCCAAGGAAAATGAGGAGTCAACACCACAGATTTAGGGAGCATGGGGCCTTTCCACAGCTGGGAGAGGCAGATGAGGAATGGTGTGCCATGGAGGGCACTTGGGCTCGCCAGAGCCATGCCAACTGCCAACCGGGTAGACGTACAGTGCCACGTGTCTCCAAAGACCTGCTCCTAGGAACAGGAGTCATGGTCAGGATCACATGGGGAAAGACATTAAAATGTGAATGCACGGGTATCACTGCTCCGGTGCAAATCAAGGTCCAGGTTCTCAGTGAGGTGCCAGTTCAGAGCCTGCTCCCTCCAGAGGGAGTGCTGAAGGTCCAGTCGTCTGCACGGGAGGGCCTTCTGCAACGCGGGTGGGAGTGGGAAGGACGCTCAGCAGAGCTGTCTCTGTCGGTGTTTCCGTTGAAACTGACTCCCAGCACCTTTAATGTGTCTGCGTCCTCGTGGTCTAAGTTGCTGAAGAAAAGGAGGCATTTGATCTGTTTTTAAAAATTACTTCAGGGAGCATCATGGGCCCTTTCATTCTGAACGATGGGAATGCTTAATTCAAGGTCTGGAAGCTTAGCATCTCAACTCTGTCCAGTGGATCCCTGAGATCTCACTGCTTGGAGTAGCTACTGACTTCCTGTGTGTGGCCACAGTTGGGACAGCCACTTCTTGATGCAGCCTGTCCTCTGTGGCCACCTGACCTCTTTCTTCTCCATCTTTTTTCCAAATGAGCCACCACTGCCCCCTTCACTGTCACACCTGCCAGTGTCCTAATTCCCAAAAGGAATGAAGTCAATCTAAAAGGGCATCCACAGTCTGACAGCCAATGAGAAACTTGTGGGGTAAGAAAAATACACTGGAAACAGAAGCAATGTCAAGGTCCCACTGTGTTCTAGCATATCCTGTACATTTACTAATGGGACCAAAGGTTTTGCTCCCAGCTTTCCAGCAGCCAATGTGGAAAGCAAAGTTGAATGGCTTCTTGTGTCCTTAAGACAGAAATAGAATCATTGCTTGGAAGGGTTGTAGCTATTTCTGGCAAAGACACCAGAGAGACGCTATCTCCAGGATCCTCATAAGGACAATGTTTGCAATATGGCGACACCGTCCTTCATAACATTGCACGGTGAGTGCAAACCCACGGCTTCCCAGCTGTTTCAGTATCTTACAGTGGGGAATTATGGAATCAAGGAAAATATTTCTGGATGTGGCCAAATCAAGCCCATCTCAATTATGTGATCCCCCATAAGGCTGGTGTTATTCCAGGCAAATTCCAGAACTCTAGAAGATTGAGGGGAACTTCATGTCTTTCAGGAAACCCTGGAGGTGCATAATTTCTGCTGCGGACTGAATGTTCCCCCCAAAATTCATCTGCGAAACCCTGCCTCCCAATGTGATGG